AGTACTTATTCTGTTGTATTTGGTTTTATTTCAGAATAATGACTCAGGTTATTGAAATCATCTTGAATTTAATTTTAAATTCTAGAGTAAGGCAGCCACCATCAGGTTTCAGTCATATATGCAAAATTTTAACGTATACCCTACATATGTTATCAAGGAAGGATTTGGCATCTGAATAATGGTTCTATTAGTATTTTCAATTTAACATCATACTTCTGTGTTATTAGGAACATCTACATAACAATGCATGTCTATGCAAAAATCAAGAAATGTGGCCAAAATCTAGACGTCTTCAATTATCTAGATGCTTGACAAGATATGGACTTAATCCTAACAAAATGATAGCAACAAATAAAATAAATAAAAATCTAATATTTTTACATTAAAAACATTTATCCAGTTTTGGTTACTTAATGTTATGTTGCTATAATATATGAGTACATATTTCCTCTACTCATTACTGCCATTACTATGTAAGACTATCTAAAACTTATTTGGGTCAAGGTAATCAGTATGCTCTGCTTTTTCACTCTATTAAAGGTCATTAATTCTCAAGCAACTTTTTATTGCCTTTTAAAAATAGGTATTCCATTGGCTTTTTCCCAGTGATCTGGGGTCCTGCCAATCCTCCACAGATCTTCACATGTTATCATTCTTGGCTCTGTGATTACATCAATTATTTTCTTGGCAAATCCAAGGTAGAGTTGGTCAAGCTCAACTAACATAAAAATATGTAACACACCAAAGTAAATTGTAGGCGAGTTCAAGTTCTTTTTTAACTTTAATTTTTATCCTAGCCTTTTTGGGTTAGGTACTTCTCTATAGTTACTTTCTTTTGTGATCATGCTATTCTGTACACACAAGGGACTGCCGAGAGGCTTAGGGAACAATTTAAAATCATCCAAAGCCCTTAACACTATTAAATCCTACTTGATCCATGAAGAATAATTAGCAAGGTCTGGGGAACTTGTATGGGAATTTACCTATTTACAGTTAGGTCTGTCCATTCGTGAACAGCCAGATGAGTGTTAGCCAGGTTCAGATAAGCGTTTAGAACAGTTCTAAGATATCCATACAGTTTCTTAATTCAAGATGATGGACAGGACCTGTTTTGCCTCCTTTCCGTGCTAAATTCCCATTGAAATGACAATTCATATATAAAAATAAATAAATCCTTGACAACACTTCAAACAAGCCAAAAAAAAAAAAAAAAAAAAAAAGGAGGCAACAGGGGAATGACATTAGCAGGCCAGATAGTCTGACAAAGTCTCGGAAGCTAGGAAGTAGTTTGCATTTATTGTTGGATAAACTCTAGCAGAGTAAATCACAACCCCAAATACACATATAGAAAAGAGGTGTAGTGGAGGTGGTGTTCGTTTTCTTTAAAATACATCTGGAGAGGCTCCAAACAGGTACAGATAGAACAAATAGCTAAGGTGTAGTAATAAAGTTCTGTTAACGGGAAGACCATTTTCAGACCAGCTGTGCTAGAGAGCCCCTCCTCTTCCTCTGTATATGGAATAGTTGGCTTATTTGGCAGTTGCGATGTCCCATGCCTGTTAATGTATTTAAAAAAAGAAGCCATTTGTCAGTAGCGTTCACCCTTTGACACAGCCTAAAGGCAGCCCCCTCATTCAGAACACAGGCCTTTTGGGTAAAATGGTTCCTTAGACCTCAAAGGATATGAAGACCAACTATTATAAATATAAACATAAACATAATATATCTATAATATAGTCCTTTACATCCCAAAATTAGTGATGAACCAAGGATTTCCAGATATTTAAGGGAAATCGAATAGAAGAAAAAGAAAGACAAAGGTAAATAAACAAAAACTGACCACAGAATAGACAGTTGTAATGCAAGGAAGAAAGAACTTTAAAAGGTTCTTATTAGTATCTTCAAAATTTCAAGAATATATTGTGTTCATAATATAAAAAGAGGCTGCTATGAGTTCTTGAAAATTAAAATATATATAATTACATAAAAATAAATTAAACTGTGAACTAAACCATAGCAGACAGAAGTAAAGACTGAAATTTAATTTGGAAGGTGGAATTAATAAAACATTCCATAATGGAAAGGGGGAAAAAAAAAGAAAAAAAAATGCACAAAAAGTTATTTCAAGAAATATAAAGCCCCACTATTCAAACTGTGGTTCACACCCCGGCAGGATCAGGATCATCTATCTCATTAGAAATGCAAAGTCACAGGCCTCACTTAAGACTTATTGACTCAGATTCTTCATTTTGAAAAGATCTGTGGGTAATTCGCATGCATTAAAACTTGAAAGCACTGATATAAAGTATATATTAAGAAGGTCTTATGTGTATCTAAAAGGTGGTTTAGAGGAAGACAACATAAACCATGAAGGAGTTGAAATAATCAAAGAAATAACAAAAGAAAATAGATGAAGAAAATTTTCTGGAGCTGGGAAACATACCGACTCAACAATTGGCCGACTCACCAAATGGCAAGTGGACAAAAATGCATTAGATACATACTTGTAAAATTTCAGAACTAAGCTTGAAGAGAAAAATTCTAAAAGATTTCAAAAAGTGCTCAAAAAGAAATGACCATCAGATCTACATCAATGCCTTAACAACAACATCGGATCCTAAAAGCCTATAAAGCAACTTTAAACCTAGAATACCATATGAAGTGCAATTATAAATAAAATTTAAGTGAAGAATAAAGGCATTTTAGACATAAAGAACTCAGTCTACTCCACATCTACCTTTTTTATTATTTTTTAAAAGATTTTATTTATTTATTTTAGAAAGAGAGAGAGCATGTGTGAGCAAGGGGAGGGGCAAAGGGGGAGAGAGAGAGAGAGAGAGAGAAAGAGAATCTTAAGCAGGCTCCACGCTGAGCAGGGAGCCTGACGCAGAGCTCGATCTCATGACCTGAGATCATGACCTGAGCCGAAACCAAGAGTCAGATGCTTAACCAGCTGAGCCACCTTTTTTAAAGAAACCCCTCATCCACCTTTTTTAAAGAAAATATTATGAGGGCATACTCCAGTAATATGAAAAAATAATCTAAGAAAGAGGAAGAAAAGGAATCTAAGAAACAGTTTAATCTAGTCCCGAGGTACAATGAAAGAAATCTCAGAATGAGGAGTACACCCAAAAAGTAATGAATAGAAATTAGAAGGAAACCAGAGGACTTTATGGAGAAAAAAAAAAAAACCTGGAGGTGGGTTGAGGATGGTAGTGTACATATGAAAATAAATGTAAAAGAAAGTCTTGGTATCATACGAAGCAAACTAAAACATGACATTATTTTGAGCCATTGTTGATACATGACATTAATATATAACTATATCATATTTATTTAATTTATATTAATAATAAATAATATAATATTAATTATATTATTTCTATGTTAATCTCTCAGACTTTGGTGTTTGGGACTATGTGGGATTACACTACTTTCTCCATGTGCTTAATCATATTACGTGGTTATAGAAAGAGTAATATTCACAATGTTTATATATTGATTATTTCAGATGTTCCTATGTTTAAATCAAACTATAGACAATGTTTGAAAGACACTGGATATAGAAGGAAATGTAATGGCACAATATATAAGTATAAATTATTAAAATAATAATGTTTGCATATAAATTGCTTTACACTAAAAAAATGTAAAATATAGTAATTTAGCTGACAGAAGTCAACAGGGAAGAAGAAAAGAAGAAAGTATAGACACACTGATTTCCTCACCTCACCTAGTATGGGGAAAATAGAGTCAGTCTGAAGCTGATGATTAAAAAACATAGGTTAAGTATAATGTTAAGTAACAAAGACAACTAATAGAAAAATGAAAACAATACACAGCAACAAAAACCCTGAATTTAAGAGGAGAATAGGGAAGAAGGGAGAAAGTAAAAGTATGAGTGCATGAAATTTCACATCTTTCATCTGGAAATCCATAGATACTACCTGAAGTCTTAAGAAAATCAAGAATAAAATGTGTTCTTTAGAAATATGATGGTAACGTCCTCCATGCTATTCCTTATGTTCCACAAATAAGTGACACCATCTGATAATTGAAAAATGATGGGGGCGGAATCGGAGGGAGAGACGAACCATGAGAGACTATGGACTCTGAGAGACACACTGAGGGTTCTAGAGGGGAGGAGGGAGGGGGGATGGGTTAGCCCGGTGATGGGTATTAAGGAGGGCACGTACTGCATGGAGCACTGGGTGTTATACGGAAACAATGGATCGTGGATCACTACATCAGAAAACTAATGATGTATAGTATGGTGACTAACATAACATAATAAAATTAAAAAAAAAAAAAGAAATATGATGGTAAATACCAGAAGAGCTAAAAAGTGAAGCAATTAAAGTCATTAACTCTGGAAATCTTTGGAGGTCAGTAAAGGGCAGTGAGGATAAATTTGGCTTTTCATCCAGTTCCCATCTATACAAGTCTGCATATTATAACTATCACATATATATATATATATATATATATACACAACATTACATATGTGTGTGTGTATATAACATTTAAAAGCAAAAAATCATAAATAGAAAAAACTTCAGTGGAACTTATATATATGATAGATATTTAGTTACTACTAAGCAGAATTAGCACAGAAAATTTACTAGCAAATATCTGTTGATTCAACAAATTCTTTGAGCACCTACTCTGTGTGTTTTCCTGTGCTGAGCACTGAGTCTATAATAGTGAGTCAGATAGAAGTGACCCCTGTGATGAAAGAGATTACTGTCTATCCATTAAGATAGGAATTAAACAAATAATTACACAAATACCTTGCTCAATACACTTGTGTTACATGATGTGAAGGATAAATATATAGTGAGAAAATATAACAGGGGAATGTAAGCCTGGGAAACCAAGTTGCTTTGGGCAAAGTTGTATAATAAGCAAAGTTTAACAAAATTTGAATTCTTGGTGCTAACATATTTCCTCGGACCCAGGAAATAACCAGTAGGAGACCAATGTTTAACTAAAAGCAACTAGTGCCCTCTTCGGCAGCACATATACTAAAATTCAAATGACACAGACATTAGCCTAGTCCTTGCACAAGGATGACAGGCAAATTCATGAAGCATTCCATATTTTTTTTAAAAACAAAAAAAATAAAAAAATAAAAGAAACTAAACCTGTTCCCACTTAAGCAAATTCTGTCCCTTATTCTATATAACTCAAAAAGCATTTACAGATTTCCATGGTTTTAAGTTTTCTGACTTGAGAAATTTTTCCCCAAAATGAATCAGATCACTTAATTTTGTTTCCAAAAAATAATATATCGAAAGCTGACAATTTGGCAATTTGCTGTAAGGCTAGGTAAAGATCAACCCACTTTAACATGCAAAAAAAAAAAGCCTAGTATTTCCAGAGCTGTCAAGAACTTCAAGTTATGAAGGAAGTAATTTGATCTCCTGCACTTAAAAACTATTTACTTACCCATTTCCATCAGCATTCACTCATATAAACTAAGTGTGAGGACCAGAAAGCATATTTTTATTCAGCCTGTATCCAACTGGGATACAGAATAGAATGTGAGAAAGTAGTAGGTCTTCTGATATGATCAGAGGGCTAGTCAATCAAGGAGGCCTGTCTTGAACAGAAGAGTTTTGGGGGGGTACCAAAGAGAATTTTGGTGAAATAATTTTATAATTTAATAAAAGTGTCATGACCAGCCCTTAAAGTAGTCTGGGCTTTCTCATGTGCCATGTCAAAACTGACATGGTAAAGCCAATTATCAACTGCCAAGACCCCCAAATGGGCCACCTCAATGACAATGAACGTTTGTACCCTTCCTTACATCTATCTACCTGACTCTGAGATTCCTGGGGCCACACTGTCTGCACCCACACATACCACTGCTGATTCTTCTGGTTTGGCAATCTGTTAACCAGATTGATCAGACTAGAAGGGCAAATTGGGACACTTCGTTACTGGTTGTTCCTTTGGAAAGAATCAATGAATGTCTATTCCAAGCCCACAACTCCATAAGCACAGATGCACTGGATAGGATGCATAGAAAGAGTTCATTTTTGTGCAAACCAAGCGAAGTCTAACAAGCAAAAAGTTTTCCTTCCCACAAATGAGAAAGTTATACTTCAACTTGTTCACTACAGTTCTTAAAATGACAAATACAATAATAGATAAATCAAAGCCTTTAAACGTAGAAAAGTCAACAGACACAAGGTTGCTGATTGCCTCTATGTGCGTCTCCATCTTGGAAATTTTGCCAAACCCCTAGGAAAATTGAAATTAGGATAATAATTTCAAAGAAGTTTAAATTTCAGATTGACTTCCTTGGGAAACCCAAAAAGACAGCAGTAAGCATTCCTCAATGTTCCTTTGTGGGGTTTTTTGTTTGTTTTTTTCTTTTGGGGGCTAGGGAGGGAGTATTTTGCTTTTGTTAAATCACTTCCAGTATCCTAATCACACTAATAGTCCCTGCTTTAGAGAATACCTGATATTTTATAATAGCCTGTTCCAGAATCATCTTAGAAACATGTATAGAGCATTTACTGCCGGGCCACAGCGCTAAGTGCTTTATATATATTAACTCATGTAATACTTACACAGCCCCAGAGGGCTGGTATTCAGAGAGGTTGTACAACCTGTCCAAAGTCACACAGCTAAATAGGTGGTGGAGCTGGCATCTGAACCCAAGCAGTCTGCCCTGGTATATAAAGCATAACTCAGAAATAAATATATTTTCACTTTGACTTCCATCATTGTTTCATCAACGTTCACCTTGAGGCTTTGCAAGCCTCAGGTGTCGGCTATTCCTCTGCCTCCTGAACATTCTCTCCCTTCCCCCACTGGTTCTCTACCTGCATTTCCGGCCTGCCTGTCAGATAGTTAATGATCTGCACACAAACACTTACATGAACTAGTGGAGCTAAGCCTTTTAAAAGAATCCTAGGGGAATCCTTTAAAGATGCTTTTACAATATGAATAATCACCCCCTAATTTATTCATCTGTAAATTTTTGTTTGCACATAATAGATTTGCTTCAGGCAGGGCCAAACTGATTCATGCTTTTTTAGCTTTTCTCAGATGCATCACCTTTGCTTGCCATTTTGTGATTCAAGAAACCCGATTATTTTAATGTCCACAACAACCGTTCTCCTTTTAGAGTTTATAAAAGTGAAAGATATATAGCACAAAAACTCTTTGTCAGGGAATATTTCTCGTGAAATGGAAATTTTAGCTCCTCTTACTTACTTGGAATGCTTATTTGTTCAGACACAGGACAGTGAAAATAAAATTTGAGGGTCCAGAATATTATCTCTATCCATTTTAATTTTGTCAGGCCAGACCCAGTTTCCAAAACAGATGAAATTAAATTTTTATATCAACTCACTTCTCACTTTAATGTCAAGAAATTTGCTGTTCTATATGCCTAGACTTTCGAGTAAATATCAGCTAACCCTGATTGCGGCAATCACCTCTTTGACTGATCTACCAGCTCTGTGAGTCCCACCCTCTGGCAGATTTAGTTTACGGAGATCAGCAACAAAAATCAGACGAAAGCCTATCTTCATGCGCTTTGAAAGAAACTAAGGAGACTCCGCATATGCAGATATCCCAAAGTTGCGACCAGCCCGATCAATGGTATGAATGCAGAACTTCACATTGGGAGCATATAATGGTTTTGGCCTCCCTTGCTGAACCCCACATTTTGATTTGAAGTACTCCCCTTCAAGTCCAAGGTTCAAATTTAGCTCTTCTGTTGTAATACGATAACGTCCACGATGAATGGCAAGTGATGGAGATCACCATTAATGGGGATAGCCTATTTGCTTTTCCCTGAGGTCCCTGAAACACATTTTCTAAACTCTTCCATGTGGCCCAGCCCATGTTATGGATTTGTTAACTTTGCAATACATTTGATTGAAACATCATAATTCTTTCCATGACAATAGTGTCTGATGTTACAGATGCCCAACGAGCAAGGTCAATAGTTGACAGATGGAAGTTGGAGCCAAGCAATTACATTTCCCAAACCATTATAAAGAATGTAACTGAAGAAAGGTGGAAGCGGGCCTAAAACACACCAAACAATAAAAAGCACAAAAATAATTGCTTCAAATTTAATGAGTCTTTCTTTGATATGACAACCAATCCAAGAATCTCTGCATTCCCTTTCTCTGGTAAAAGTCAAAACATTTTTGAGGCGGTGGCAGTTTATCTAAATTATTGTTTTTCCTCCATCAGTCTTTAGGCTTAATCTCATTTGCTTTTATGGATATGGTAACCCTTTTGAATAGCTTTTAACCTTTTAAAAGTTGCCTTGACCCGAAGAGCCTAAAAAAATTTTAATACAATATTGAATAATAAAAATTGAACAATTGAATGCTTTTCTTACCCGCAGTCTGCACGCAGTGCTGTGGGTCCCAGAGCAGAGTTTCTGTCTGAATGAAAAAAAAATTAAAATACCTGTATATAGCTTGCTTCTAGCAGAAACCTTCAGCTCTGACCTCTGTTTCATTGGCTCCATTGTTCCTTCTGCCACCACGGTATATTGGCTCTCTCTTTTCCAAAGAAAGAGTGTGCTTCCTCCTGCAGCACGTCAGCTTCAAAGGGCTCTTACTTCAAGTGTCCAGCACATCATTATGGTAAATTTAAGAAATCCTCGGCTTAAGATTGTCTCTTTCACTTGCATATAACGCAGATAACTTCATGACTAAATGTTATAAACCAAGCCTTTTGTTGGCTTTTTTTTTTTTTTCTCACCATAGTCTCTAGGACATTTTCTATTTTGTGTTTAGTAAGATGCAAGATGCAGGACAAGATGATGATCCACGAATACAACTCAATTTTTTTTTTAATCTTTGTGTTGTGGAACTTAATTACCAAGTTAAAGACAAGATGGCATTCCTGCCATCCATCCTGGGGAAAGGGATGGGGGAGGGCCTCTGGCTGAATGCCAGCCTGGGTTCGGGGTAGGGGGACGGTTCGTTGTGAAGGCCCTGAGAGCAGTGCCTCCCCTGGGAAGAGCTACCTCCCACCTGGCAGACCCGGAGGAGCCACGCTCGGCATCCAGAGCCTGGGAAGCCCTGTTGTGGGGGATGTCAGTCAGCTGACATCCTGCCTCCCGCTCTCTATCTGAGAGGGGGATCTGCATTTTCTAAGCCAGTTGGCAGCATGCACCACCAACAGCAACGCACTGCAGGCCTGTGGTATAGACTGTCACCCTGTGATAAGTGTGCCAGTTCAGTGGTGCAAAGGTTTTCAGATACCCTCCCTTGGGCTATCATTCTCCTGCTCCTCCTCCCCTCTCCCCCACATACACAGAGCATTGGGCTCTCAAGTGCCCTTCTCCACATAGTTACAATAACCCATCCTGGCCAGTGATGCTTAAAATTGAACCATGGTTCAGGGGAGTAGTAGGCTCTCCCTGCAAGCACCCTAATGTGTTAAACAGCCATGCCAGGTAGCTCCCTCCCTTCTCTGAACCAACTACTTATAGAGACCATCTGTCAGTGGAAGTGCGTTTTTTTGCAAGTTCTCTAACCTAGCATTTGAAGGATATACAAACTTGTATGTATATAGTTTTTCTCTAAGAGCAAGTATCTCCCTAACTGTCCTCTCAAGCAGCCTGCTTCCACCATGGGCCTCGACATGGGAGGGGAGGCCAGGTATTGGGGCCCGCCTGGTGACTGAGCACGTACCTCCAACAGGACCACGTTTGTACAGCTGAGGCTTGACATGCGGGTCTTTTTAGATGTTTGGAATTATTTCATTTGGCACCACGATCGCCTCAAATGATACATATTTTCAGGGAAAGAAACACTGCGAAAGCAAACTTGAACCAAGAGGGACATTTATTCTCCAGGTTTAAAATTAATTTCCTGTATTTCTCTGGCTTTAGAAAAAATTCTATTGGAACTGCAACTTTATGAGAAGAAAAATCAGAAACTATTTCTTTTACACTGAGCCCAGTATCAGATGAAATGGAAATGTAAGGATTTCCTTAGCGTTAACCCACTGGAATTCTCCAGCTGAGAACTGAGGTCTGCAGGCTGTTTTAGGTTAAGACCTTGCTCCACTCCATGTTAGGTAATCAGATGTCATTTAGGCAAAATAAATGAGAAGTAC